ACATTAAAAAAAAAATTAAGGGGCGCCTGAGTGGCTCAGGTTAAGCGACCAACATCAGCTCAGGTCATGATCTCTTGGTTCGTGGATTCGAGCTCCAGGTTGGGCTCTGTCCTGACAGCTCAGAGCCTGGAGCCTGCTTCTGATTCTGTGTTTCCCTCTCTCTGCCCTCCCTGCTTGCTCTGTCTCTCTCTCTAAAATAAACATTAAAAAATAAAAATTAAAGACATATTTCTTCTTGATTCTAGCATATGTTGAGTCTTAAAGTGACTTCTTCCTCATTTTAGTCTCTTTTGTCTGGTAATAGAATAGTGAAATCATTTTTTAAAATTATTAAATTCCAGCTCTAGAACTCCTGACAGTTCTATTGATATATAGTTTAGTCAAGTATTCAAAAAGCACAAAATGCTCATACCTGAAAATATTTGTTCTGATGAGACTGGAAGGGCAAGAGGTGAGGGAGCTAACTTTACTGAATGCCCACACCAGGTCAGCCCCTTTTGTAAACCACTATATAGCATGCAGGAGAGAAAAGAGATTTTCAGAGAGTTGGTTCCTGGTCAGGTGAAAGGCATTGCTCAGTGAGTTGTTAGCAACATTGATAAAGGATTAAACTCATGAAGGCATCAGGGTATATAGGGTTGGTGGGAAAAGCCCAACCTAGATCAGAAGTCATAAAACTAGGGTTCCTATCTAAGTGATGTCACTTACAAATGAGGTTATCTGGCTAGACCCTTTATATTTATTTCCACATCTGTAAAGTAAGTTTATATTCTCTAGCCTGTCTCCCTCTCCTAGATCATCTGGCACAATAGCTGTCTACCACAGCTGCGTATTGGAATCACCCGGGGAGCTTTGAAAAAATTATTGATGTTTAGGATCCCAACTTCAGGAGACTCTGATTTGATTGGTCTGTGGTGTAGCCAGGTATTGGAGTGTTTAAAATCCCCACAGGTGATTCATATGTGCAGCTAACGCTATGAGTCCTTGGTTTGGAGGATGGTTAGGAAAGCCTTTTATAAATTTATTTACAAGGGTTAGCAGATGTAATCGACAATGTAAATAGGTTTTTTCCCCATTATAACTTCAGATGTTTTGCTTTAAAAAAAAAATTTAGTTTATTACCGAATTTCCCTAGCCCTTAACACCTAGAAAACCGCTGGTAAGTATTCGTTACATTTGTTAATGTACGACCTTTTATTAAAGTTTTAAGATCATTTGAAAAATGGGATTTGAGGTTCAATGTATAGAGCCGTTCAAGATAAGCAGGACCTTTCTGTGGAAACATTCCCAAGAAACGCGAGCCTTTCTTGCTCACCCCAGGCTCGCTTCACTCCTTCACACGAGCCGCGATGTCTTCGTGCCGACCCTCGCTCGCTCGCCCGCCGAGAGGCACGCAGCGTGATCCGGTGGGTGCCACGAGCTCAGGGGCGGAGCGCCCGAAAGGGCCGACCCTCTCTGCTCTTAGGACTCTCCCCGCCCGCTCGGCTCGGCCCGCCCCGCCGCAGCGCCCCGCCCCGGACGCGGGTTGGGGTGGGATGTTGGTGGCGCCCGGCCGCCGGGACTCCACAGCCGAGCCTTAGGGCTGCGGCGACTGCCTCCGCGCGACCCGGCGGGCCCAGTTTGGACGCGGGGTTCCCGAGCTGCCCGCGCCTCTGGCCCCGCGGAGCCCTACGCGATCGCCTCGTGCCGGAGCCGGGAGGGGCCAGGATGCGGAGCTGTGCGCCTTGAGCTGGCCTCATGACCCTGAGCACGTTGGCCCGCGAGAGGAAGGCGTCTCCCGCCTGCACCTGCAACCTCGGTAGCCCCGACATGATCCCTTACTTCTCCGCCAACGCGGTCATCTCTCAGAACGCCATCAACCAGCTGTGAGTTCGCGGCGCGCCCTCCCGCCCTCCGCGAAAGCTCGGAAAGTTTGCTTTTCCGGAGCCGCTTTCCCCAGCATCCTGGGGAGCAAGCAAGCAAGCGAGGGCGAAATCGCGCCCTGCGTGCTTGGAGGTCTCGAAGTGACCGGGGATATAGTGGGGTGAAGCCGTGGAGCAGTTCTTGGAGGCAGAAAGTGTCCCTGGGGGTTGGGCGGATTAAAGAACCCTTTGCGAGAATTTCTGGTAAACTTTGAGGGAAGCTGAAAGTGCAGTCCTCCCTTGGAAGCTGTCTATGGTGACCGAGTGACAGCCGAGCCGGGAGGCTCTGGGTGAAGGGCGGTCTGTAGCTTCTGAACCGTCGCCCGGAAACGCTTGGACTCCCTCGCGGGTCCTGCTGGAGATCAAGCTCCCGTGTTTGTTGTTTTGGGGTTGCTGTTTCAAATAAATTTGCGTGTGACTATAGGTTTCTTTTCGAAAGCCGTTCACACAAAAGAAGGCTGTCCATTCTTCGCTCCCGCTGGCTGTATGTAGTCTGGAATTATTTAAGAAAATTGGATTTCGGTAATTTGGCTGTTTTTCCTTTAATCTCCCCCTTGTACCAGTACGTACTCAAAATCCAAGCCTGCATGCACACCTTCATTCACGAAAGTACAAGATTCAACGCATCTTAAATCGTCGCTGTTTTTTTGAAGTCTCTAGAGTTGTCGTCCTTCCCTTCCATTGTGGTTGAGCTATTTCTGAGAACTGTGTGCCGAAGCTTGTGGTTAATCTCGCCTCACAGTTAAGGCGAGGGTTACTTTGTGTAGCAGCAGTTTGGTCTTGTAGTGTGTTAGCACTCACTCCGGAGTGGCTTCAGGAGAGTCAGCTACTGAGGTTTTTCCAGACTTTTGGATACTTAGGGAATGTTTCTTTCTCCCTCCCAGGTCAACCCTGAAAAACTTTTTTTAATGTCCAACAACAGAAACTTTCCACTATCTCTTATTAAAAGTCCTAAAATAGCATGTGATTTATAATGTTGCACATAATTTATTATTTTAATTGATGGTTTGCTCTCCTACCAAATCAAATTAAGCTCATTTGAGTTTCAGGTTTTTTCTTTGTGTTGATTCATGGTGGAGCTCCTACAAAAAATAGCCACAAAATAAAGTGGTTTTAGTGGTGTGTATATCAACTCTACAGAATTAAATCAGCCACTTACTTGCATTTTTTTTCTTAAAAAAAAGAAATGGAATAAAAGAGAAGGAAAGGAGGGAATAATCAGAAACTGGATAACCAATATCAATAGTGTTGACAATATTTTGAAAAAACAAAACAACATGGGGAGCAACCCACATGTCCGTCAGTAGATAAATGGATAAAACAAAATGTGGTATGCAGTACAACTGAGTATTATTCAACCTTAAAAAAGAAGGAAATTCTGACAAATGCTGCAACAAGAATGAATTTTGAAGATATTATTCTAAATGAAATAAGCCAATGACAAAGGACAAATACCACATGATTCCACTTGAGGCACCTAAAGAAATCCCCAGGAGTTTGGGGGAGGGGGAATGGAGAGTTTGTGTTTGATAGAATTTCATTTAAAAAGAAGAAAAAGGGACACTAGGGTGGCTCAGTCGGTGGAGCAACCGACTTCAGCTCAGGTCATGATCTCAGGGTCTGTGAGTTCGAGCCCCGCGTTGGGCTCTGTGCTGACCGCTCAGAGCCTGGAACCTGCTTAGATTCTGTGTCTCCCTCTCTCTCTCTGACCCTCCCCCACTCATGCTCTGTCTCTCTCTGTCTCACAAATAAACATTAAAAAAATTTTTTTTTAAAGAAGAAAAAGTTCTAGGGATGAATGATGATTACGCAACAATGTGAATGTATTTAATGCCACTGAACATGGTTGAAATGGCAAATTTTATGTATATTGAACTACACTTTTAAAAAACATTAAAAGGCAGAGCTTCTCAGCTTTTGCATTTTAGTTCCTAGTATAATCAAATTAAGCCCAAATTTCTTTTCCTACTTATTATTGCCTTTGAGTAAATCATTTGACTTCAGTTTCTTCCACTGTAAAATGAGGCTCCTACCCCCAGGTTGGATCAAAAGAGATCATATGTGCCAGTAACACTTTGCAAACCATAAATACCTACATTAAAAATGAGTTAATTGAAATTAACAAATGCCTGCCATTTGTTGACCTCTTGTCACCGTGCTAAGAGTTTAACGTGTATTGTCTCATGTAATCATAACAGCAACTCTATGAACCAATTTGTTCTATTTACAGACAATGAAACTGAGACTCAGAGATGTTAATTGCTCAAGGCCATGTAGCTAGTAAATGATAAAACTGTCGTTAGAATCCAGAGCCGTTTCCTAGACTGGTGCTTTCAACCACTATAAAAATTATATTCTGAGGAGTTGCAAGGTCACTTTTGAGACTTAATCTTACGAATTGTCTTTAACTGCTGACATCTTCAACTTAGCAGTAAAAAAATGTATTTGCTACACTAAGATTTGCTGCTAACGTAGACAGTCTTTTAAAGAATTTGCAGAATATCTCTTTAATTTTTGTCTTTTGCTACCCTTTTTTCTTATAAGAGATGTAATATCCAAATTCACTTCATCTAAAGTATATTCATTAGGATTACACCAGCCATCATTTTTATTTTGCATTTATAGTGTTCCCCAGTTCATCATTATTTAAGAATCTTTAGAGGTCATTCTGATAAAAATAATACCAAAAATTCTGTTGAAACACACATTTTTGGCATGTAATGTAGAAGGTCTTAATTTGGGATCCATGGTCACCTAGAGTTTTATGGATTGGCTTTAGAAGGTCACTGAACTCCTAGGGCCACCTGGGTGGCTCAGTTGGTTGAGTGTCTGGATCTTGGTTTCTGCTCAGGTCATTTGAGCAGATGAGCAGGTGAGTTTGAGTCCTGCGTAGGGCTCTGCACTGGTGGCACGAAGCCTGCTTGGGATATTCATTCTCTCTCTCTCTCTCTTTCTCTCTTTTTCTCTCTCTTTCTCCCTCCCCCTCTCTCCCTCCCCCTCTCTCCCTCCCTCCCCCTCTCTCCCCCTCTCTCCCCCTCTCCCTCCCTCCCTCCCTCCCTCCCTCCTCCCCACTTGTGCTGTCTCTCTCAAAATAAATATAGACTTAAAAAAAGTGAACTCCTTAAGGTCATATGAAAATGTTGTGTAGATAAATATATTTTTAAAATTAGATTCTCTAATGTGATCTTATAAAAAGTTAATCTCTTTCCTAAAGGGAAGTTATTATTTCTAAGGCTTGATAATGTAAAGCTCAATTGGTGTGAGCATTTCCCTGGTGGTGCCAGATACATAAATAGCGACTAGTGGGAGTAACTAAAAGATTAAGATTTAGGATCATAAGTGGAGACTGACTCAAAAAAAAATTTGAAGTGTATGTTTGGGGAAGGGGATACCTTGACACAAGTGTACTCTTAGCCAGATAATTCTCTTGTCACTGCTGAGAACCCACTCATGAATTTTTATTCTGTTCTTATTTGCTGCCTGGGATTTGCTGTGGGTTTAGAAACCAAGTAACAAATGCTATGAGAATTGTGTCGGAGGAAAAAGGCTAGCATAACAGACTGAGATCCTTGGGGCTCTCCAATGGAGAAAGTTCATGACCTTTGGAGTATGGTGTTTAGATACCTTTTTGGTGATTTCACAGGTTCATACTAATTTCTTGAGTTTCAACTGTTATATATAGATGAAATTAGAGAATAACTAGGGTATTACTGTATTTTACTGGAAATTATATCATCATTATTAGATTATGGTCTCCCTTTGTCATTGCATAAAACTCACCAAATAGGGGGTTAATTTTGAAGTATCAATGAAGAACATTAAGAAGTGATTAAATTCACTCCAGAAACTAAGAATAGTCCCTGCCATAAGCTTAAATCCTACTAGAAAAAAAAATATGTGAGCAACCCAGAGCATCATAGGATCAAATTTCAGGAGTCTTAAATCAGACTTCTCAAATAATCATGAGAAGTTACATGCCCTTTAAGAGTCTATACATACTTTTTTAATAAAAGAGAAATTAGAATTTCTGAAAAATATGGGAGCCTATGTTATGTTTCGAGGGCCAACATTCAATCCCTGAGAGGTGGCCACTAAGCAAGGGGTCTTCTAGCATTATTGGTATATGCCAAACAACGTATCAAATAGGTGGCTATTTTTGTGCCTACCAAAAATCAGAAAAAGATCAAGAATTATTAGACAAAATGCTGACAGAGGCTACCATTAAAACAGTATTCCCTTTATGAAAACCTCTGATCAGAAATCTTGGAACTTAAGTGCTTGAAACATTGCTTGATTGTGAAATGGGTTACCTTGAGCTTTTTATCCTTGACCTAAAATACTTGTATTTAGTATTTGATTTCATATATGAGTTTGATTTCGAAGCTATACATGGATGCTTTCTAAAGCTCAAGTTTAACAACAGGAGAGCATATCCAGATAATTATCCAAAATGTAACTTTTTGTGAAACTGAAAGGTGTTTTGTATCTCTAACAAGTTCCTAGATGATGCTGGTCCAGGGGCTGCACTTGGCAACAACATCCTTAAAGTATTCCTCTGAGGCAGATTGAGCAAGTCCTCATCCACATTTTATGAAGTAATAAACTAAAAAAAAAATTGAAATGGTGCAGTGATTTTTGCATAGCAGTTACATGATTTGTTATTGGCAGAACTGAAACTAGAACCAGCATTTCCTGTCTCAAAACACAGAGCTCCTACACTGCTGTACTGGACTGCTATCTTTGTATACATATGGAAACATTTCTTTAGATAAATCTGTAGCAGTGGAATTTCTGGGTCTAATGGTATGTATATGTTAAAAATTTGATACATACTGCCAAATTGCCTTCAAAAAAGGCTTTGCTAATTTGCTTTTACCAGCTGTAGGAATAGACCTTCACCAATCCTGATAATACTAATTAATAACATTAAATAGCACGTTATTGAACTCTTACTATGTACTAGG